CGCTCGACTCCCGGCGGCGGACGAACTCCTGGGGGGTGGCCCGCGCGGCGGCCCCCGCCGGGGGCCCCGACGAGGGCCGCGATTCGGACCTCCTCCAGGCCGAGGCGCTGGAGCCGGTCCTCGCCAGCGTCGGCCACCCGCGCAGCGTCTACGGGCTGCGGAAGATGCTCGTGCAGGGCCTGGTCGGCTACCACGGCATCATCTCGCGAGCCGAGGAGGCCCGCCTCTGCGAGGAGCTCCTCCAGCTCCTTCAGCACCCCAAGGCCGCCTACGTCGCGGAGGAAACCCGCTATTGCGTGAACTTGTACGAGACCGGGGAGTTGGGGCTGCCCGGGAAGGACACCCTGGCCTTTGCCCTTTCCCGCGCCCCGACGCTGCAGGCGGTGCTTTATCGCTTTTTTGTCCTCGGCCTGATTCCCTCCCCGCCGAATGTCTGCCAAATCAACGAGATGATCGGGAACTTTTCGGGCTACCCGGTCCACCGCAAGCCGGCCAGTGTGGGGGCCTACTTCGGCCTGCTTAACCTCGTGTCGACCACCGTCGTCCACCTGCAGCATCGCGATTGCCCGTGGTATCCTCGACTGCACGTCAGCCCGCGGTCGCTTTTTGTGGTGTCGGAGCCCTGTTTGAGCGAGTACGGCATGGGCTACAAGCGCACCGCGCAGCCTTTTCACAGCTTCGAGTACGCCACCCGGGTTTCGAAGGACTACCGCATCGAAGTCCTCTTCGCGACCGTGGAAAGCGCCCGGCATCGGCTGCTGCGGGATGCCGTCGGGCTGACGGCCGCGGCGCAGAAATCGTCCACAGCCGCGGCCGCGGCGAGCCCTGGCGAGGCGGAAGGCCCCAGGGACGCCCCCAATCCCCCGCCCCCCTCCGTGATTGACCCGTGGCTTCGCCAAATTCGCCGTCAACTGCACGAGACGGAAGGCGCCGCGGGGGGGCCGCCGGGGCCTTCGATGGACCCCGGCTCGGGTCTTTCCCCCGCGGACGTCGCGCCGGGCCCGGATGGGAGCCTGAAGACGGTTGTGGTGGATGGCCACGCCCTGCGGCGCGAGATGGAGGCCCAACTCCTCCTCGGGAAGACGCCGAGGACCTTCAGCATCAACTCCGACGCCCCCCCCGCGGCCGACGCCGCCTTCCCGGCGGCGGAGGGCCGGGCGAAGGCCGCGTCGCCGGCGCGGCGGCGGCTCGAGGCGCTGCGGACGCGCTACGAGTTCGCCAAACACCTCCAATCCCACACCGCGGTGAGCCGGTCAAACGACGGGCCGACGCTCATTCGCGGCCACGCCCCAGGGGATGGCAAAAAGTTTTAAATCCTCCAACAATAACGAAGACCGATCGGGCGATCCGACCCATTCATTGGGGGAGGGGGGTTTGCCTAGGCTTTGCTTGCGGTTCGGTCCAGTGGGTTACCCCGGATGGTCTTGCAATGATGTGGGTATTAATTTTGGGCTCACTTGGGAAATTTCCCTTGAAAGAGGGGGACATCAATCCCATAAGCTTCTATTCTGGACGAAGCGCCGTTAATTTTCCAACAGTACTGCGAGGGAGGCTTATCTCATGCACTCATTCTTTTATATTTATGTGTGGACGTTTTGTATTTCACCCTATCGAACTTATTCTTTTGGTCTGTTTTTTTGCGTTCTATGAGTAAAGTTCTAACGAGGCACGATGGCGCGCACCCTTTTCCGGCATGCGCGGTTTTCGCCCCGCCCCCATCCCGCTCGTGGGCGATCCCCTTGGGACTTCTCACGGGCCTTTTTCGGCCAAAGACGGGGCTACGCCGATCACCGCCCCGCAGTTTCGCTGCGCGGTCTTTTGCAGGCGTCCCTCCACCCCTTCAATCGCCCATCCTCCGCGAGGCCGGACGCCCTGGCGGGGGTGGGGCTTCAGCTTCAGCTCCCGCCTTTCTACACCTGGGCCTGCCAAACCGACCTTCTCGGCGAGCAAATCGAGGCGTATGTCCGTGGCCTGGGCCTTGGCGAATCCGCACCGCGGGAGACGGAAGGTCCGGGATGGTCCTGGGAGGCGGCGGCATCGGCGCCCACGCCGCCTTTGTTTTTGGCTCTGCGTTTATTCCCCGATGCGTTGCTCGCGGATCTCACGCGGCCCGTGCGGATGGCCCCCCCCTCTTTGGCGGCGGCCCCTGAAAGCCATGCCAACCCCATATTCTCAGGACCCAAAAAACAAATCCCGCCCGCGCATCTTCTCGCCTTGGATGCCTTTCTCCAGGCCGATCATCCTTGGGGCGTCGGGGTATGTCCCCAGAGCACTTTTAAAGACGCCGCGATCGGTCTCGAGGCCCTTCTTTCTCGATTTTCGCCCCGTTTTCCTCTCGTGTTCGTGATTCCCACGCTGCTTTTGGTGAGTCAGGACTTTTGCCAGGCGCTTTTCACGCTGTTCGCGACCTTTCGCGATCGTGGGGTGGTGAGCGTGGCGTTGGAGCTCCCGTCCTCGCGGGTGCTTTACGAGCCCCGGCCCTCGCAAGCCCCGCAAGGCGATCGCGCGCCCTGGGAGTCCAACTGGTGCCGATTACCGACGTTGTGTACGCCTTGGGAGGCGCTTCGGGGGGGAATTGCAGCCCCAAATTCCCCTTTCCATTGCCTCCGGCCGCGTAGCGTGATGCCGTTGCATGCTTTATTTCCATGGATGGTGCGGGAGGGGTTTTGGCGGGACGGCGAGATGGGCCTCGTGGTGGACACCATCGCCCCGCCGCCAGGGCCGGCGTGGGCCTGTGCCGAACGCGAGGGGCCGGACGATTTTCTCCACCCCCATTCCCACCCGCCCGGGGCGGATACCGCACGGGTGAAGGACTTCAGGCCTCCGCCCGCGACCCCCAACCCACAGGAGAATCCCACATCCCCGGAAGGGCCTTCGCGCGCCCGATTCGCCTCGTCGATGAGTCGGACGGATCGCCGTCTGGTGGAAACGGCCCTGCGGGACCGCCCAATCCCAGCCAATTCCCTTCGCGCGCGATCGCGAACGCGTCAGGCGGCGATCGGGGAGCCAGGCCGGGATCGAAGTGGGAAGGGGATGATGCTCGGGGCCCCGCCGGAGGCGATTAAGTCCCTCATTCTCGATTCCATTTTATCGCAGCCGGCGCCCCTGAGGGCCCGGGGTGGAACTTTCTTCGACGAAGGCGATCAATCGGCTGACAATTCCACCGGACGGGCGGCCAACGCCTCTTTGCCGGGCCTTTCCGCCCCCCCGAATGACGTGGAATCGCAGTGGCTGCGGATGGCGTGGGAACTGCAGCGCCATCCGCCGCCTATCCGACCGCCTCGCCGCGGCGAAGGGCCTGCGGGTTCGGGCCTTTCCCCCGCCGAAAAGCCCGCTTCGACGAACTTTTACGGCGAGGGCTACTGGGGCTGTCTGGGCCGACTGGGGGGGCTTTTAGCGAACCTCACGACGGTGTGGTCGATGCCCACGTTGCACGCGGGCCAAGTCCGCGCGTGGGAGCGGGAGGCGAAGGCCCGGGGCGGGTTATTACCGCCGCGCCGGGAATCCCGTGAGGCCGGCGATGGGCCGTTTTTCATCCCGGTGGGGCTGCCTTTGCTGTCCGCGGTGGAGTTGGAGGGGGCTACGGAGGAGGGCGG